AAATAGTAAATAGCAATGAAATTTTAAGTAGAGTTTGTTGGGAGTGCAGTTGCGCGGGCAAGTATCAGGCGAAGAAAGTGTTGGATCCAAATAATCAAAGAAATCGACGATCTAAGGCAACAGAATGTGAATGGAAAGTTAATGCGAACTTCTCAAAGAGAACATCAATGATTTCTTTTACCACAGTCGTGGATAAACATACTCATCCGTTGGTTCCTTCACCTGCAACCAATATCGCTAGATATCGTAAGCTTGGTAATGACATGGTTGAATTTATTGAATTTTGTGTACATCACGGCGTAACTAGCGCACAAAGCATTGGACGTCTTTTAAAAGGAAAATTTCCTGGAAGAAAGGTTTATCAAAAGGCCCTTTATAATGCAATTCAAGTAGCAAAAAAAAAATTAGTAACGCGAGTTGAATTTGACGCGGCGGATCTTATGAAACAGTTATATTCAAGACGAGCTGAGGATTCACGTTGGTTTGTAGAGGCGAAATTTGAAAAAAATGAGCGTCGTTTGTGTGGATTAGTATGGCTATCGCCTGAACAGCAAATTTTATGGACCCGTTATCACGATGTTCTTTTTTTTGATACAACGTCTCGTACTAATAAGTATAATATGGTGGCTTGTTTCTTTGTCGTTGTCGACAATTGTAATCGAACGCGACTTGTTGCAACTGCATTACTTGAAGATGAGACAGAAAATAGTTTCTCTTGGGCATTACAAATGATTAAAAAATGTATGGGAAGTCTAACACCAAAGGTCGTATTTACCGATTCCGACCCAGCAATGATTAGCGCAATAAACTTGGAATTTTCAGATTCTATTCATTGCTTATGTATATTCCACCTTGATCTTAATTTAAAGAAAAATCTTAGAAATAAGCTGAGTTCGATAGAATTCAAGGAGTTTCGTGAGGCTTTTTTTAAGTGTAGGAACATCTTAGTTTCAAGTGTTTTTGAAAGTCAATGGGAAAGTTTAAAAGTGGAATATCCATCAATCAGTGGTTATATTAAGCGACAATTGGATCCGTTTAAACATAAATGGGCCATCTGTTATACAAATAATCAATTCACGGCCGGGGCAAATAGCACTCAACGGGTTGAAAGCTTTAATCGTAAAATCCATGATTGTGTTCGGTCAAGTTCATCACTTCTGGAATTGACAAAAGAAATTCAAGATTTACTTGATAAAGAAGCCGAATATGTGAGAGTCGAGGAGTATAAAGAACAAATCCCTATGATCGGTCTTCCAACTATCTCAAAAACCTATTTTAATTCTATTGAGACGGTTGTTTCACGATCTCTTTTACCAGCTATGGTGTTTGTTGTATGTAAACAAATGCAGGAATGTTTTTACTATGACTGCTTTCGAATGGATAGCACGGTTGTTGATTTAATTGTAGAGGTAAAGTATTAGTCTCATGGTTTATAAATTTCAACAATAATTTTATTTTCTTATTGAAGAATGGTATTGTTGACGATTCTATTTTAAACCGCGTAAAAAATTCAAAATGAGCAATTTACTGCAATTCTGTACTAAAACATTTTATCTTGTTTAAGGAACAAGTAAATATTAACAATATTGAGGGAGCACGGGAAGATAATTACGATATCACGAAAATATGTCTTGCCGACATTATATCAACGGTTAGACAAGAACAAGTTATAGAAATTTGGAGAGTAGTTATATCTTGTGGATCAAAAAACAACTATGTTATATTGTTAGCAGATGGGTCTCATCGATGCACATGCAATATTATCATAACTCATGGATACCCATGCCGACATTTTTATAAGGTTTTACGTTGTTCTCCTCAGGCTAAATGGCATATTGGACTTATTGCGGCGCGATGGTATAAAGACAATTTCGTTGATGATATTTGGAAGCAGTCCCCAATTACAATATGTGCTAATTCAGATGAAACCCATGTACCATGTGATGTTGAATATCCGATATGCAAATTTGATCACATAAAGCAAGTTCGAAAGACTGAAGTTTATAGTCAAACATTGAGAGAAGTCAATAATACACGACAAAAGTATGGAAGAGCTCAAGGCATTATGAGAAAAGTACTTGATATAGCAATCGCGACTGATTCATACGACGAATTGATGGGTATTTGTCATGGATTTATCTTGGATAAACAAGGAAACCAAGAACCTGATACAATAACGGATGAAATTGAATGCAATATTAAGAACCCTGTGGTTAGTACAAGAAAGGGACGTCCGCCTGGACGAGCAAAAAGCAATGTTGAAGTTCAAGATCAACGTGCTAAAAAGATGCGACATCCACAAACTTCAGAAATTACTAATGAATATGAAATCAAAGACAATAGGAAAACATGTCAAAATTGTGGAAATAAGGGACACAATAGGGCAACATGCAAAATTAATCAGGGTTAATAGAAACATAATAGGGCAACATGCAAAAATGAGAGTTTTATACGTAGTATAGTTTGATTTATCGCTATAGATCTATGTATTGTATCGTATGATATCTGCATTGTTAATTGAGAAAGACTGCTGTCTGTTTGCTTAGTTTGATATGCTTTGTCATTGTTAATTTCGAATGTACGTATGTACATACTATTTGTTTGCTTTTTGTGCGTAGCTACGTATGTAATTACTAAATTAAACGATTCAGGCTTGGTGCGTACGTAAGTATTTTATATCAATGCTGGGTTTTTGTGCATTCAGTAATTTTGGAAAGAATGATAATGAATAATTTGTATGAGTGCTATTTTTTAGCGATGTTATAA